TATATATATATATATATATATATATATATATATATTTTATAATTACAGTAAAAAAAATATGTATTTATTTGTTTCTAATGTAAAGAAGAGAATAATTTAATTTTTACAACCTTCTTAGACACCCTTTGAAAGTTGAAATATAATATATAAAACAAGATTGTACTTTTGATGGAGTTATTTTATGATATTTGTCTGAGGAAATATTTTATGGGGGTTATTTTTATAAGGTTATTACACAAGCATACTTCAAAATGATGAGATATTGTCCGCTTTGAGCCTTAACCCTCACGATTTTGCTTTTGGTCATTATCCGAAAGGTCTCTCTAACATTGGAGTATGTGTGTGTTTTAAAAGTTGTTATTTTTTTTCTTATTTTATAAGATGTGAGACTTGTTTGCATCCTAACAATTATGATAGGTTATTTTATGATATTTGTCTGAGAGAATATTTTATAAGTTATTTTTATCAGAAGAGCATAATCTAATTTTATTCACGAGTCTCTATTTATAGAGAAAATTTATTATACCAAATCAAATATTGATATTATCCTATTCTAAAAACAAGAAAACAAATCCTAAAATAATCAAAACAGATTAAATCTAAATATTTGAAGTTGGTTTTTCATCATCTTCATTCTCCTCTTGATCATCAAACTTCTTTTGAAGATATGCATCTTTGTTCTCTTCACTTGTATCTTCATTTATAATTGGCTCCTCTTTCTCCAAATTTAAAGCAAAACTCTTGCCTTTCATATGAACATTGAACACTTCTTTGTTGTATTGTTAGAGCTACTCGAAACCCAGAATTCGAAAGCTACTCGAAAGCTATATCTATGAAACTACTCGAAAGGGAGATAAAGGTCGAACACTTACCAGGATCGTATCAGCAGCCCTATTTGTTCACGTGCGAGATGGGTCGAAAAACATTAGTCGAATCGAACAGAGAAGTGCTCGAAAATAAATGAAGAAGGTTACTGGAGGTTTCTTAAAGTAGTTTGAGTAGTTATCTTAAAGCAGTTAATAAAACATGGATCGAAGAGGTAAAAAACACGTGGGGCAGACGGTTACGAGAGGTTTTATTTTAACCCACGTAATGGGCTTAGTGGTCAACAGTTATGTGCCCATAATACGTGTACACAGAAATAACTGCTCTTGAGGATTTCTATAAGTATGAAAGGCACACTCTTTTACGAAGGTCGAAAAAACTCATACTTGAATAGAGCTCTGAAGCACTCTCCGCCTACGCATATGGCTTTCGTGCATAGAATCGTTTTTGGGTATGGTTGCTTCTTGACCACTTTTCTTTTTCCTTTTTAGATTAGGATTAGTTTAGTCTTCTTATTTCTTATAATCACTTAGTTTCCAATTACGTAAATTCTGACAATGTTGTAATGCTTGGATATTATGAACCATGATTTGCATAGGAAGTATATTTGTTGTTCATTCTGTTTATTTAAGCATCTATGCTCATGAACACTATTTTTTGATAATCATTGATGAATATCTAGAAACCAGTAATTATTAACTCTTCCTTCTACGTTCTTTGTCTTTAAATCGAATTAAATCAAATACCTAAATTGAAATCGTTTTTGGTGCTAGTCCGAGTAAAAAGAATCCATAAAACGAATTCCACTGTAAACAAATTGGCACGCCCGGTGGGACCCGTTTAAGTCAAACATAATTGGACTAGTTTTAGGTATGTGTGTTGCATGAGAGTTAGGAGTGAAAGAACTATGTCTACATCTAATAATCAAAGAGATACAAACACGAACAATAATAATCACGTAGATGTAGAACACCCCGATAATGTGACTAATGTGACCAGGGGACAGCATCTTCCCCTGTGTTGCTCGAAAATACAGCTAGGCAAACAAATGTTACTTAGGAACTAGCAAATGTCATTAGGGAATACCCCTAGGGTATGCCACAGAATTGGCGAAATACCCAACCAGTGCATGGCGAAATGCCAGTGCGTGTCTTAGGAGCAAATCCGCAAATGCACGTATCCCCACAAGGATATAATCCTGGACCAAATGGCATGGGTTTCGTTATGCAAGACCCATATCAACACGTAGGAACAAGTCAGGAAGGTTATCTGATTCGACCGGGTAGTTACGTACCTATGGGTATTAGCAACCAAGCTATGATGGCTCTTCGACAACAGAATGGCACGAGTCTAGCCTAAGACTTGAGGAGAGGAAAAATATTTTCGAATTGGAAGCGCTCAGATAGAGTCTCTTGAGAGTGGTGCTTGGATAGGCCACTGATATATGAGAGTGGTGCTCAGGTAGGCCACTGGGTTGGGTGAGTCTCCTCTAAGTCCTTAGCTAGTGTTGGAGCGGGGTATGAGGTCGAGGGTTATTCCCTTAACCAAGTACTCGGGAAGGTGCGTGGATCCTTGCGGATAGTCGGTGGGCGAACTCCACAATTGACTTGGTTAATGCATGCCAAGGTCGTGGTAAGCCCGTACCCAGCTGTGCTATACCTGACGGTGGATCTGGACTTCCAA